AACAAAGTGTCGCTAATATGGATACCGGGACATGTCGCCCTAGAGGGAAATGAACGTGTTGATTCCCTCGCCAAAATTGGTGCAGGCTCGCCATTCGTGGGCCCAGAACCGACACTTAGCGTTCCTAAAATTCTCGCAAGAGACAGGCTCTGTGAATGGGTTAGGAGTGAGACGTTCCGGGACTGGAATGACAGTCCCGGAATGGAACATGCCAAGAAAATCCTAGCAGGGCCATCCAAACATAGAACAGGAGAACTCAAAACAAAACTAAAGGCCGGTAGGAACGGAACGCGTGTGCTCACTGCAGTGTACACGGGCCACTGCCGGCTGAGATCTCACCTACAGAGGACGGGACTGGTGAAAGACGCCGAATGCCGACTCTGTATGGAAGATGATGAAACAATGAAGCACGTTATGTGTACCTGCCCCGCTGGGAGCAGGACCAGGTTTGAGATGTTTGGCAAACCCTTGCTAGACCTATCAGACATAACGGCTTATATTAAGAGGCTGGGTCTTGAGGATGAACTTTGACGCTCTTGTAAATTAGAGCTTGTAGAAACTGAGCCACAATAGGCCCTCGCGGCCTCAGTGGAGGGTCCCCTATGGGACCCACTCTTAGTCAAATACAAAATACAATACAGTACATGTTTTTCATATTTTGATCGTGACTTTTCCGGCAATAATGATTCCGTGGCACGTACTGCGGCTTCTACATCTGAAGGGAGACTTTTGAAATCGCTCATCGTAATTTTTAAAATTATTTTTCTGGGCAAAATGTGCTCGCGTTTACTTGTAACTATAGTCTGAAGCAGGTAACAATTCCCCACAATTATAATTAAAAAAATGTGGCAAATGTCATAGTTAAGGGTGTTAAAGGTGGGCGACTAATAAACAAAAATTAAAACAGCATTTTCTTATTTTTCGGTTGTAGATAAAACGTAGTACATGACACGTGCGTTTAAACATGATTACAACACTCGTGTGATTAGAACGACGAGGTCGTAGACCGAGTCGTTCTAATCGTTCACACTCGTTGTTGTAATCATATTCATTAACACACTTGTACTGTAAATAACTTAATTTCACACTAGCAAAACCGGTGCGTAAAACTATACTTGCTACCGCAGTAGAACTCATCTAAGAAGTTTTATTAACTTGAATAATAATATATAACACAAGTTAGACCTCCTGAAGATATCAAAATATTTACTTTTTTATTTTTTTAGAATTTTCAAAAATGAAACTTCCTAACACTTTTAGAATAATCATATAAACTTTTTTTCGTATACTCGCTATTTAAACCCGGGTATAAATACTTATATACCGGTTGTTTACGATATTCTCCGATGGTGGCAGCACCGGCGGAGAATGCACCAAGCCTATAGTATTAATTTAATTATTATCTGTAGTCTTGTAAAAATTATCTGGCACTCTCTATTATTTGTTTTCACTTACATATTTTTATTACGAAACATTTTTAACTTTTTTAAATTTCGATTAATTTTATAGTCATACTTATTAAATTTATTGAAAAAAAAACAATTTATTTTCAATGCTTTGTTGTTTATTTATTTACTTATTGACAAAATGTGTGATGTTTTTGTTTATATTTACATATTATTCGTTAACAACACTATTGGTTTTATAACAAAATATGAAAAGCAAATATTTTCACGTATTTATGGCCGTTGGGGCAATCTGGATAATGCTCGATTTTGTTACAGCGTAGATATTGTTATTTTCGCACTCGCATTTTTCGGAAAATAATTGTTAGTTAGTTAGAAAAATAAATAATAATTTTCGTTTTTTAACCCGCTTTTATTGGCTTCAAATACAATATACGATACAATTTGAACGTGAGAAACTTTATATTGGTGAAACATATACTACTATACCACTGCAAACGAGTATTTGACACGCATCAGAAGATGGTTACGCAAAGCGTTTTCTTTCATGAGCTTTTCTGTGACTGAAAAGCCCGATATTTGATGTTATCTCTCTTCCGCACTCCGGACATTTAAAAATCGCATTGCTTTGTTGCCTCTTTACTTTTTGGTTGTCGCTGTTAACTGAGTTTACAATTCTCCATTCCGTTTTATTGTGCGCTACTTCTTCGCACTGATTCTGCATGCTCATCCCCTTTAAGTTTTCATGGAAAATATCCCTAGTTGTCTACCCGGTTTCCTCTTACCGTTTACAAACTCACCGTAAAGAAGAGATTTTGGTAGGCTTTTTGGTTTTCTTGCATCCTGGATACGTGACCAGCCCATCTTAAGTAATCAACGATTTCGCAGCTAGATTCTTCAAGGACCAATAAATTTCAGACATGGTGGAGCCATTTGATTATTAAGAGTTGTCTAAGATGTCTCTGTTGCAACTTATTTAATGCGTTCATGTGTTAACGGTACGGCATCGCGGCACCCAGGTTTCGCTTCCATATAACATGGTGGAGATTATTATTGCTCGGTACACTGCAAATTTCGTTTTTGTGCTCAAGTCATGATTGTACAAAAATCCTGTCTTTTAATTGCCTGTGCTCAATTTCAGAGTCGATATTGGCCTTTTCTGAAACCAAACTGCCGAAGTAATTTCGCTACATACTCCAATAGTTCTTCTTTATATTCTCCGTATAGCATAGTTGTGATATTCCGGGGGAGTGGACATGGTTTTGGTTTTATCGATGTTTAGCTTAAGGCCCAAAGCCTCGTATACTCAGGTATATGGGTTCAACATATCTTGTAATTGCTGTAACGGTTTTGCAACTTAACAAAATTCTTATTAACTAATAACTAAAACTAATTGACTTTATAATACTATTTTTGCATTTTTGTCAAAATTTGATGCATTTAAATACGGATATTATTGTATTTTTATTTTTTTACGACTTTATAAGGAGCAAATGATTTTACGTCTCTACTGCGACCTGTGAGGCCTATTGTGTTTGTCCCATTTCTGTCTGCACCACAGGACTGCACCCATTTTCCTATTCCTGTACCCTGCACCAACTTATGCAGGCCCTTGATAGCAGTGGCGGATACAGAGGGGGGGCTCATGGGGCATGGGGGGTCCCCCTAAAATCTGTAAATTGGGTTAAATCTTATGCTTTTGGGTTAAAAATGGTGCCCTAAAAAGCATATTTTACATTAATTTTTATTTTGGGCCCCCCCTAAAATAAAATCCTGTATCCGCCCCTGATTGATAGTATGGGAGCATAAGTCCGGTTCTAGTCTTGCTTTCCCAAATAAAAAGGGTCGTTTGCGATCCAGAGCCTCGCAGTGACATATTATGTGCTCCACTGTTTCAGGATCTTTGTCTGCAACAAACGCTTCCTTGATCCAGATTGAGGTTTTTCAGCTAACAATTGACAGCCATGTGTCCTGTTGTAATCGGCACTTTATTCCTGCTAAGCATTAACAGTTCGTTGGAGCTAGGTCCTTGGAGAAAGGCTTTGCTATGCCTGTGCGCCTGTCTATTTCTACAGTGGACATTCTGTTTTTCTCTGATCCAGAGTTTTAGTACCCTGCGGGCCATACATTTGGGTATTCCCAGTACTGACTCTGGACCAAGATAGGATGCCGATGATCCTTGCCTAGCTAGTTCGTCGGCTTTTTCGTTGCATTGGATGCCGCTGTGACCCGGCACCCAGAATAATTTAATTCTGTACCTTCGTGCCAGAGCTCCTAAGTAAAATAGAACCTTTTCTAACAGACAGACAAAAATAAAGTTACAAAACATGCTAGAGGTGGGAATTCTAGTTCCTTGGGAGGAATGTTAAAATTATGTATGTTTGTGTATGTTAAAAACCTATATAGGGAAATTGGAAGAACTTTCATTGCACGTCATTAATGACACCATGCGTCATCTTATGGAGTTTGCTGGTGGTCGTATTATGATGTGCAACGAAAGTTATTTTAATTTCCCTTATAGGTAAGTTTTATTGCAGATAAAAAATATAAAAAAGAAACTCAAATCAGAGTTTAAAAAACTATATCATAAATCAATTAGAGCAAATATTACAAAAATTTTACGAAAAATTGCATTTTTCCTCACTTCAAGCTTTTTGTTTTTGTCTAAAAAATCAGAATATCTACTTCGTTTTATAAGATATTTCTTAATTTTAGGAACCTAAAGTGAAACATTCCCATAAAATATTTAAAAAACAAACTAAAAATCAAAAACAGTATCGACGACAATTTTCTGTGGTAATTACGCCGCGCCGGCTGTGACAATAGACTAGGCCGAATCCATCGTCGTCGCCTTGGATTATATCTCGGATCTGCCGACTGAATAGATTCCCGTGAAATAGTCTTTTAATAGTTCCTCTATGTCCGGATCCGATAACATACGGCATCAATCGCGCTGGCTGATCCATACGTAAACTAGTCTTATTTAGTACGTCTAGTTCCTTTAGGTCCGGATCCGATAACATACGGCATATGGCTGGCACTCCCCACTCTTGCCTAGCATCGATCGCGCTGGCCCGATTCGTACGTACGTAAACTAGTCTTTTATTTAGTTTAGTTCCTCTAGGTACGGATGGTACGGATCCGATAACGTGCGGCTGGCACTCCCCACTCCTGCCTACCATCGGACTACGCGCGCTAGCCGATCCGTCGCATATCATTCTATATCGGTCACAGTCTCGATCCCGGAATAGCTCCTGAGAAAGTAGTTCTTTGAGAAACCAGGAACTAGTTCCTTTCATTCCGGGGTCGGAATAGTTCATTGGAACTAGTTCGTTCACGAACTACACACCTCTAAAACATTCAGCAAAACCGAAAAATGTTTCCATAACATTAAGTTCAAGAATGGTTAAACTTAAACAAATATAATATTGACACAAAATATGTTTTATATAATATCATGTATCTTAATCCAAAACGTTCATCTCCGTATCTAAATGAGATTCTAGAAACTTTTAACGGACGAGTTGTGTGAAAAGCCCATTTTAACCTAGTTTTCACAAGTTTTTTTTTTATTTGATTTTATTTCTTTTGCAGCATCCTGGCGGTGGCGATCTAATCACCGAGTTCGCCGGATTAGATTGCACAAAGGGTTTCGACGATTTCGGACATTCCTCGGACGCGAAAAAACAATTGAAGGCTTTCAAAATACGCGAAATTGTCGAGGTAAGACTCTTCCGTTCTTCTTTCCTGTTTTCGCAAAGAGAGAAAAAAAAAACTAAAAAAACATTTACTTTGCAGGAGGAACGTAGAGGAAAAGCCAAGAAGAAGCCTGAAGTAAAATCGGGAGTTACTGTTAAGGATGCTCCAGACGGAAAACCACAAACCAGGTATAGTGTTTCAAATTAGTTCTATTTTTTAAATTTTTAAAGAAAATAATATCAAATTATTGAACCGGGGCTATTATTCGGAACCAGGAATGTATAGTCTGTGAAACGAATAACTTTGAATTTGACAGTTCCCGCGGGCTTTTCTAGTGTTGATTTTATTAGGTTAGCAACTTGCGGCCATGCTGACGCAATGCCGTCTCTAATAGAACAGCCTCGGAGCGAGATTTGCGACGTCACGCTAGTTAGATACTACGGATTAATAAATATGTTGTAGAAAACATGGAAATCACAATTCTTCCTCGTAATGTTTTACAATATACAAATTATACAAATTCCTCGTAAATGTTTTACAATATACAAATATGAATAGGTACATAAGATAATGGGTAAAATGTAAAATATATTTTAAATTTTGGGGTTTGAAAATCGATCAAATTTAACAAAAAACATTCAATATCTACTAATAGTGATGTATTATTATTTGCATTCACAAAATTTATATGTATATTTTGCAAGTATCAATGTTCGAAAAATTATATTTGCAGATAATACAATATCACAGAAAAAAGGCGTCAGCGATGGCTATGAAATAAAGATCGCTGTAATTTTATATATAAATTGTTACATATAAGTATTATTATTATTATTTTTAAAATGCAAACCAAAAATACGAGGAATAATTATGTTTTCCATGTATTCTACAACATATTTATTAATCCGTAGTATCTAACTAGCGTGACGTCATAAATCTCGCTCCGAGGCTGTTCTATTAGAGACGGCATTGGTCTGATATTTAGAAATGTCAAAAGCTGATGACATTTTACTTTTGACAATTATGACATATCGTGTTGATTTTTGCAAGAAGAGGAAGAACTGTCACTTGTTTTATAATTTTCCTTTTCTATTTCACGAAAGTAAAAAGAGTTACCTATCTGATTCGTTTAGGCACTCAATTAAAAGAATATCAGTAACTTTTTTGATAGAGGGATTTTATATTTGCCATGTTGGTAAAAAATAACGGTCAAAATTGAAAGTTATTCATTTTATAGACTATAGCAATGCCTCTAACAAACCGCAATTTCCCGGTTTTGTCGGTATTTTCGATACTAGCAAATTTTTGTTCAATGATTGTGCAGTTCGTCAATCGGCAAGTAAGGGATGGCTTTCAAAAGTAAAACCGATAAAAACACGTGTTTTTAAAACACCCTGTATACGAAGTTCCACAATATTACAAAAAAACAGTTGTCTTTTAAATGTGCTTTCGGAAACTTTATCCATTTTGAGTTAATTGACTAGTAAACAAATTGTATAAATTTTGTACAACTGTTGATTTAAATTATATTATTATTATTATTTATTAACTATCTAATTGCATTATAAGTTATAGGTAATTTATTTTTATACTAGATTACAAAAAATATATTTCTGTTTATTTTGTTTTAGGAGCTGCATTTCAATTGTCACTTGTGGATTATGCGGATGAAACAAAAGGATTAACGTATAGAATTCCTAAGTGTAATTTAAATTCCATAGAGGAATTTTTCAACTGTGATGAAGTCCTACAGAAAACTGTAAACAATAATTGTTAAATCATATTTATTGCTGCAACTTACCATTAAGATTATAAGTTTAAATATTCATAAAGTGTTCTTTAATATTACCTACTATACCCATAAAATATAAAGTTACAGCTACTATACTAAAATTTAGTAACGAATTAACATAAATGATTAAATGAAATTAAAAATATAAATGTGAGGTTATGTTTTGGAATAATGGACGCCTTTTTTTAATTTCAAAATAACTAGAAAAATATGGAAAAGTAGCACACAAGCATCTCATATAAATCATCTGAAGCCTCTTAAACACAATCCTTTAGTAATCCACTAGTACTAATAACAGAACAAAAACTGAAATGGGCTAGTGACAGCTTTCAGCTTTATAAAACAGCAGGAGTAGATGGGATTTTTTATGCCCTTCTAAGGAACGGTCAAAAGCACCCACTCTTCTTGGTGAGACAATTCCATTTGCCGAAGAAGTTAAGTAACTAGGATTAAACCTGGACAAAAAACTTAGCTGGACCTCCCATCTAGAAAAAATATCAAAAAGGCTTGCTATGCTCTATGGGTATGCCGCCGAATTTGTGGTAGAAAATATGTACTGGCTATACGCGACAGCCATCAGACCTATTATCACGTATGGCGCAGTTGCCTGGTGGTAGAAAGCCAACCAAACAACGGCAAAGAATAAACTGTCAAAATTACAACGACAAGCATGCTTAGCGGTGACTGGTGCCTTTCATTCTACGCCGTCAAAAGCGAGTTGGGCTACATATAGGTTTCTAAATATGGCACGAGAGAGCCAAGGAACAATCATGTTCATACAAAACCGACTAGTAGACGAACTACAATCGGATGAGATTCTGGGAATGGTCTCGGATCTCACACCATCAATCCAACTCTTGACGCGCACCTACAACGTCCTGTTTCCGAATAGGAACGAATGGGATAAGACGAGAAACGGCAAAATATTACATACGGAAATGTGTTGCTACACGGACGGATCCAAAAACGATAAAGGATCTGGCGCAGGAATTTACTGCAGAAGTCCAAAGACTGAGATCTACCACAGTCTTGGAAAACACACCACAATTTTTCAAGCTGAGCTATATGCTATTGAAACCTGTGTGCAACTGCTGGTAGAACAGCAATACACCGGGAAAACAATAAGCATATTTTCGGATATTAGCCGCGTTGAGAGCACTTGAAAGGCAACGAAAAGCACGTCTATGACGATTCTTCATTGTAAGAAACTACTCAATATATTAGGTGATAGGAACAAAGTGTCGCTAATATGGATACCGGGACATATCGGCCTTGAGGGAAATGAACGTGCTGATTCCCTCCCCAAAACTGGTGCAGGCTCGCCATTCGTGGGCTCAGAACCGACATTTAGCGTACCAAAAAATCTCGCAAGAGACAGGCTCTGTGAATGGGTTAGGGGTGCGACGTTTCGGGACTGGTATGACAGTGCCGGAATGGAACATGCCAAGACAATCCTAGCAGAGCCATCCAAACGTAGAACAGATGAACTAAAGGCTGGTAGGGACGGAGCGCGTACGCTTACTGCAGTATACGGGCCACTGCCGGGCACTATACGGGCCAGTACACGGGCCTCTGCCGGCTGAGATCACACCTACAGAGGATGGGACTGGTGGAAGACGCCGAATGCTGCCTCTGTATGGAAGATGACGAAACAATGAAGCACGTTATGTGTACCTACCCCGCTGGGGGCAGGACCAGGTTTGAGGTGTTTGGCAAACCCACGCTAGACCTATCAGACCTAGAAGACATCACCCTCGAACATAACAGCCTATGTTAAAAGGCTGGGTCTTAAGGGTGAACTTTAATATTCTTTTTCTATTAAAGAGCTTGTAGAAACTGAGCCACAATAAGCCCTCGCGGCCGCAGTGGAGGGTCCCACCTGGGACCCACTCTTAGTCAAATACAATACAAGGAACTGTCAGGAAATAGCTACTCGCCATCTATTAAACATTACAAGAAGCAGCTTAGCGATGGGATATATACCAACCATCTGGAGTAGAGCGAAAGTAATATTCATAACCAAAATAGGAAAAACTGACTGGGCTAACCCTAAATCATTTAGGGCTATTAGTCTCATATCGTTCATATTACAAACGATGGAGAAAGTAGTGGAGAGCCATATTGAAGTAAATCATCTAAAGGTTAAACGGAACTGAGGGACCTGGAAGGCTCCATCCGTAACCTGGAATGGGTCCTCCAACGGTCTAAGACACTCGAAAAAGTTCCGAGCTTAGGACCGAGAAAAATCAAAGATTTTCCTTGATTTAAGTAAAAACAATCTTCGGATTGTCAGGGGGTTTCTAACGGGACACTGTTCCCTCAACGAACACCTCAGTAGGCTGAAGCTGAGAAACAACGGCGAATGCAGATTCTGTGGGGAAAATGGGGAAACACCATATCACCTTATCACTGAGTGCGCCGAGACGATGACCGTTCGTGCCATAAACTTTGTACGGTTGATGTCGAGGATGGAGAGCTGGCCTCTATAGAGCCGTCTCAGATACTGGCTTTTGTTAGAGCCCTGAGACTGTATGATGAGTTATAACTCAAGATAGGGAAACACACAATAGACCTGTAAGGTAACGGTGATTAACTCCCCTCCTAAACATTCTACACTATACTCATATAAATTGTAAAATGTTAGAAGTGCGATTCTGAATTACGTTTCAAGAAAACAGGAGAGTCTTTTTAAAAAATAAAGTTTTAATTTTATTTGATAAAGTACAAGATGTTTACTGTAAGAGCAAAGACAATGGAATGATTTTTAACAATGAGAAAAGAGTCTCCTCGGCTTGGTGAAGGCTTCGTGGAAACTGCAAGGACCGCATCTTCCCATCAGGATGGCCTGATCTTTTAGCAGGTGTGCAGGAATCCGTGGGCGTAACTCCTCCCTCCTTAAGACAAAAGAAAATGGGGGCTTTCTTTTGGTTGGACCTCTTCGGGTTGATTTTCTTCATTCGTAGGGGCAGTTTTCTTCAGTCGAGCCAAAATAGGGTTGAAGATCTTTTTCTTGTATAAGACGAATACCAGGGTGAGGATAACCATGACAAACAAGATGATGGATATAATAGGGGTTGATTTCTCTGCTAAGCTTTCTTCCGATACTGGAATCAATTGATTAGCCATTTTTCGAAGTTGATAAATTTCTTCCATATTTATTCTTGAAATATTGATTGTTTCGTAATTATTTAATGTATTGATTTGTTCAAATTTGATCGATGGTAAAATAAGTGGTTTTCCTTCATCAATTTGAACATCATTGAAATACTTCTTGTTGTTTATTTCGATTTCACACTTCTCTGGTATTTTTATTAAGCTTGGCTTATCGATTTCTATGTATTGATCGATTTTACACTTGGAAAATATTCGATCTTTTCCATTTGGTAGTATTAGTACTTCGTTCTGTGTTATCTGCTGGACTACGGCTTCTTGGACATTGATATTGAGGGTGTCGCAATTTTCAATTGATTGATCTTCGATTAGTTGAAGGGTACAGCGATCTTCAGGGTGGAAATCTTCGATACAGTAGAAAGTGTCTTCTAATTTCGGGCAAATACTTTCTTCGAATTGATTTCTGACTGCTCGTGCGAGGTAGGGGTATTTAGGGATAAAAACTTTATGATTCTGGATGATAGGATATAAGTGATAAAAGGTAAATATATTCGATTGTACGATTGGGACATGTATTGCAAATATAAGCTTTGTATTTGAGAATGATATTTGTGTCCCAAAGAATTGGTAATAAGACAAGATATTTTTAAATTTTGGAATTTGATTTTCATTATAGATTGATTTTAAATAATTTAACATGTGTTCTAATTCAGAGCTAGGCAGAATCGAATTATGTAAAGTATTTAATTTTGCAAACATTATTGCATCTTCGATGTTGTCAAGAAAGGTGATAATGTTTTGACAATCTAGATTTATTTGTGTTAAAATTCCTTGAAGACTAATATAGTCGTGAAGATTACTGATTTGTTTATTCATTGCATTTTGAAATAGTCTTAATCCATAATTTAAGTTTTCTTGATTTTTACTAAGAATTGTGATAGTTTTATTATAATTGTTAATTAAATTTTTGATAACGAAATTTGCATGTTTACTTCGTTTATAATGTTTTTTGTGATCGTTTTTAGTTTATTTATTATATTATCGTATCGTTCACCGTCGTCTGAGTCAAGAGTACCAAATAACCATTTATTTGCCTTTCCTACGATGTTTAATAAACCTCTTTTACTTCGTATATGTGGATGAAGATTTTTAATTTATTTAATGTTATTTGAGTTAATGTTTCGGTCCTTAAAAGAATATTTTGGGATAACCCGTGATAAGAAATAGGGTTAGAACTATTTTCTTGATCTATAAAATTCTTAATAGTTAAAAACTTACTTTCTATATCATTAAATTGATTAATAATAGTACCTAAGTCTATAAAATGTATAAATGTATGTTTACTATAAACTAGTTTAGATTCACCTAACTTAAGGGGTAATAAGTAATTATTAAGGGTTCTTATTTGGGTGTCGTCCATGCTGTGAACTTGGACCAGCGCTGCAATTATCAACAGGGTGATTTTGATCATTTTCATCCTGTAATGAAATATTTTGTTTAGGCTTTCTTTGCGCTGTTTTTATGGTAAAACCCTTTATTTGTCTCAATTTTAATATCTGTTTCGTTTAAAACAGAGAGCTTTTAAATTTTGGAAGATCTTTCCCACGATTTTTTAGTTTTTATGTACGCCGTATCTGCGTTAAGGTATTTAGGTGGGTCTATTCTATCTTCGTTTCTTTTGTTTATAATTTGTTCTTTTTATTATGATTATTTTCCTGAATTTGATCGTAAAGTTTCTTAGTTGTTTCTTTATGATTTTGTACATAGTTTGATATAATTATATTGTCATTTAAATCGAAGGGGTTGTTAGTATTTATGTGTCCTTTGATTATTTCGAAGGGTGTGAATTTTGTGACACTGTGTATAGCGTTGTTATATCCCAAAACTGCACGTTTTATTAATTGATTTGGTGTAAAATTATT